CTGGTTTTCTGGTCTCACTAATTCAGCTTTATTGACTTCTAAATATGAATACCTTGAATTTACTAACTTGCCTAGAGTTACAACCCACTAAATGTACTTGTCATATTTTCTTAGCTATGGAATAATTGAATTATGCTTGCAACCATTACAAAATATAAACAAGAAAAAAAAAATACTTGGCTTGATACTTGGATAGTAGCAACTTCGTCAATTTTACTAAGTTGTCTCTACTACCCTCTAGTGGAATCATAGTCATACTATTCTTACAGCATTGCCTCCAGATCTCATTCACACACACACACACACACACACACACACACACACACACACACACACACACACAAATGTAGATTTATAAATTTCAGCTTTACAGAGTTGGTCCCAGCCTTAGATATTATGGACTCCTGGAGGAAATTGCCTTTTAACTGGCTTTCTTGCTCCTCTCTCTTCCAACACTAATCATTTCTGGAAAGTACTGCCAGATTAATCTGTTTAAAGGGAGAATGTGATCCTATCACTCCCCTGCTCAATCAGACGGGGAAGCCTTTAGTCGTTCCCATCTAACTGTTTGAAGTGCTGCTGGTAAACCTCCCCACAGTGACTTCCAAAACTCTGCACAATATGAATCCAACCCTCCTTCCCACCCTTCTACCCCTTAACTCCCTCTCCCCGCTCTAGCCTTCAGGCCAATCCCACCGCTGGACGTTCTCCAAATACGCCTCTTGTTTTTCCTCTTTCTGCCAAGAATGCCACCCACCTAGTCATCTCCACCCCACCAACTTCCTTCTTCCATTTCTATTTGCTGAATTATATCCATGTTCCAAGAATTATTTCAAATACACCCTTTGTTCAGCTTTACCAAGCTCCCTTTATAAGTCCCACGTAAACCTGGTACCTCTGACAATGCTGTTCCCTTTGCTGTTCCCTGACCAGGCTCCTCTCCTTCAGTTCCCATTCAAACTGACATCAGCTTTTCTAGGCAACCCAACAGAAGGATCACATCATGGATGAAGCCTTAGCTGCCTCCTCCAGAGTCCTTTTTCCCCCATTCTGTGACCCCGCAGCAATTCATTCAAGTCTCTGTTCTGGTGCCTACCACCAAAGAGAGCTCTTTTCCTGAGTGATAGATAGTGATCAATTGGGAAATGAAGTGCTTACTGTGGGCTAGGCATTCACCTAAGTAAATGTTAAATGCATTACCTCATTTTATGCTCAATAGGACACAATTAGATACTATTATTATTGTCGTTTGAGTAAATGAAGCCCAGAGAAATGAAATGACTTCCCCAAAGCCACAGATAACAGCAGGAGCCAGGACTTAAAAGGATCTGAGCCCAGACAGTCTGTGGACCCTGAGCTTTTGCCTCCCTTCATGGCTCAGCCATTCCAGAAGGGCTGTTTGTCAGGACAGCACTGTTCGACTCTCTCCCCTCTTACCTCTCATTTTGGAGTCTGTGGTTTGAGATTGGCTGTGGAAAGAATCAAATACGATTCCTGGGATAGGAAGAAGTTTTGGTTTTGTCTTGTTGAATGAAAATGTCTACTTTCCTCTTTAAAATTCCTTTCTTTGTACATGCTTCCCCATCTGGACTCTGAAGCTTACGAAGGCGAGTGCTTGGCCTTCCTAATGTGATCAAATCTTGTTGAAACAGCAGGTTGAGTCTTTCCTTTCTTATCTGAATGTGAATCACTTTACTTTGTATTCCCATAATGCTTAATTCAAAACACCCTCTGAAGGAATGCATTTAATTAACTAGATCATTAGCACAAGAGAGGCATAATCACTTGGTATATATTTTTTATTTTGCCCCTCCTCTCAAGCTCAATGGGGACAGATAGTCAATTCATCTTTGTCTCTTTAGAGGCCCCCAAATAATGCCAGGTGAACAGAGACATTCAAATATTTGGTGAGTGGGACTGATAGAGTTTAATTTTCTGTCTCCCTTCAGTGTCACATCACTGGAAGGAAATGATGCATGCAGCCAGGAGTCAGATCTCTGATGCTCACAAGGAGGCCCTCAGACACTCCAGGACACTTGAGGGCCTGTCTCATTTTTGAGGAAAAAGTAAATTATGTTCCATATTATTTAAGCAGTAAGAGGATGTGATTGTAATTTTGCTATTTGGAATTTGTCATTTATAGTAAACATTTAAAATGAAGCAGAATACTTCATAATAGGAAACCCCAGGCCTATATCATTCCAGATGACAGTTCGTTGAATTAAACTAGGACTTCATTTGTTTAACACCATTAGCATACAAACTTTTATGTTAATTCTTCAGTTTACTGATTAGAGATCTAGTCATAATCCACTGCGAATCCCCTTACAACAGTATTTAGGGTTCTTCAGGATTCTGACTCCAAACTCTCTTCCCTGCTTCACCCTACGGACCTCCTGCATCCTATGATGGACACATCCTGAATTGGACAAACTTAGAGCTTTACCCATGTCATTTCCTTTGCTTAGAAGGCCCATCCCACAATTTTTTTCTCCATTGTTTGTTCAAATGTTCACTCCCTCTGTTTGAATTAGGAATTTCCTCCTCTGTGTTCTCCTATCACTTCATAGCATGTTACAACATAAGTGCCAGAACAGAATTCTAAGAAACCGTTTCGTTTACCCACCCACACCTACAATAGGAATTGTATCTGAATCATTTTTCTCTCTGTCAAACACAGCATTGCACTTTAGAGACACTGAATACAGGTGGACCCAAAGTGTAATAAATCGTAGCATGTATTTACAATAACACCTGAAACTTCAAAAACAAAGATAATTGAGTTAAATTTTAAAATCTAGCATCACAGCTGTGGAAGCTTGTGGTCTTTTTTATGCTGAATGTAAAGTGGATATAATGAATTACTTCCTGTTTTTAGATGATAGAAATTAAATCTGTTGTTTAGGCCTCCCAGAGAGAAAGATATGTATTTATATGTATTCATTAAAGTCAGTTCCTTAACTATCAGGGAATAGTCTTTCCTAGAGCATTTCTCTGGGGCTTTCAGTTTTTATTTAAAATGTGAATTTGGGATTTAAAAAGTAAGTTTTAAAAGTTATTAGGTTTAGACAGAGATTTTCCAGACTCCTACTTTCACTATGAATGCTCTGACTCTGTCACCAGGAGTATAAAATTGTTTGTGCCACATATAGGTCCAGGTGACAGATGCTACTCATTATGTATAAAGGTATTAAACACCTAAAATGAATGTGATATACTAGTTCTATTCCTTACTCTAATCTGGGCCATCTAATACGTATTTGTAGAGGCCACGCCACTCAATCTTTGTTCTGCATCCCTTGAGTGTCAGTGCAAAGAGAAATCTTTACTAGGGGACACTTACTATTTGCAGCTATTTTACTCTTTTATTTTCTTCAAAATTTAATCATGATATTCAAGTACAGAAGTCTCTCTTAAGGATATGGTAGGGTGCAATGAAAGAGTTTTTGACACTGCTATTTAAAGTATAATTTAGATCTCTTTTTCTTCCCTAATAGAATTGTGAATTATTTTGTTTTAAAGGACATTTAAAATGCTGATATGAAAATATTTTGAAATTTAAAAAAAATGTAAAATTTTGTTTTTTATTTTTAAATAAGTAAAATTTTAAATAAATAAATAATAAAAAAGCGAGGTAAAAACAAAGTGTGTTTATATATATTACATATATATACTTTACATTGTCAAGGATGTCTTTGAGTTTCCCATTATCTTCTCTTTTTTAAATTGAATTTATTGGGGTGACATTGGTTTGCAAGACCATACAGATTTCAAGCGTACACCTCAATAAAACATCATCTGCACACTGCATCATGTGCCCATCTCCCCAAGGAAAGTCTCTTTCCATCCCCATTTCTCCTGCCTTTGCGTACCTCCCAACCCCCTGTCCCAACCCCCTTCCCTCTGGCTATCACCACACCTTTGTCTGTGTCTATGTGTTGCGTATATAGGTTTTTTTTGGTTCCGTTATCTTCTTAAGGTAACTGATATATGCTCCTTCGGCCCAGCCCGAAAGTCATCCATTTAGAAAATCATAAATAGACAGGAGCTTTAAGCATTATAAGTGAAAGTAATGGAATCTGGACTGAAGTATAGTATCACTTTTGTGATGAGTTATTTGTGTATACTAAATTTTAATTGTGCTAATATTGGCAGGTGAAAAAAATCAACCCAAACCGAACAGTAGAATCCTGGTGACTAGAAACAGTAGGACGACTCTCTCACGGGAGAAAAGACAGCGCTTGCGCACAGACTCAGTTGGCGCCCGCCCTCCTGCCTTTTCTGCAGCCGCCGTTTTCCTTCTCTTTCGCGCTCTAGCTCCAGGGAAGCCCAGCCCAAGCGTGACTGGGCTCTGATTGGCTCCTTTGAAAGTCTACGGGTCACCTGATTGGTGGATCCGCGACCCTTTAGCGCGGCGAGTTTGAAACTGCTGGCACTTAGCTCCAAAGCTGGATCTGGGAGGTTAAGGACCGCGCGACGCCGACTTGGTAGCCTCCGCCGCCGCCTTCGCCGCGGGCTCATTAGCCGGGTAATGGCGCTGGCGTCAGGGTCATGCCTGTGGGGGACACAGTGGTTGGCTCGGGGCCTCGGACCGGGAGTGCTGAGGCGCCGGGTGGTCATTCGGGCCTGGCTGGGCAGCCGGGGTCTGCGTGGGGCCAGGCCGGGGAGGCTGAGCTGCCGCCTTCACCTGGAGCCCCGGGTCCGAGCGTGTGAGCGACGCCGGGCGGGCTTTAGGGGGAGGCGTGGGGGCGCTCAGAGGCGGCGGGTTACTCCGGGAGGGCTGGGGCTGCCCTGGCGTCGGAGGCGCCATCTGGTTCGCGGTCTGCTGTTGCCAGGGAGAGGCTGCTCACCTGGCCAAGGAGGCCTTCGGGTCACCAGTGAAGCCACGTCCGTGCTTTGTCCCGACCGCGCCGAGCGCTCGCCCGGTGCCAGGTCCGCCTGGCTCCCGTGTGCGCTCTGCCCGCGGTGGGAAGCAGACCGCGCTCGGCCGGCGCCCCCGCCAGTCCTGAAGTCCAGGCCTTCGGGGAAGCCCATCCGGAGAACCAGCTTGTGGGCCTCGGACCTGCCTCTGTGCCCATGGCCTTGCCCACCTAGAGCCTGTGCGAACATTGCAGCCGAGGCCTAGGGCCAGAGGGAACCTGGAATTTTTTGGTAATGTTATATACTGTGCAATTAGCAAAAACTGGTAAACTAAGACTTGCCGAAAGATAGATACATATGTGGGTTTTAGTATCCTTTAATCATTTTTTATCTAATAGTAATGTGCACAACATTCCTCTTCTGAAGAGCTGGACGTCTGTGGGTGGGAGGGTGAGCCACTGGTGTACCCGCTGCCCTGGTGCCACAGAGCCCTGGGGGCCCTCAAAAGGCCTGAAGCCCGTCCGTCCTTTACTTAGCGTTGTTGCCACAGGAAAATGGAGGAAAGTACTTAAACCCAGCTTTGAAATGGAGTTTTTAGTTGTTTGTTCAAAGTGAGCTCAACAATTTTATTGTGCATTAGACATAGTAAATCTGGATATTGAAGAGAGGAATCTATCTTAATCATCCATTGCTATTTCATAAAATTAATTTTTCTTTTTAAGATTGACACTCATGGACAGTGATATATATATGATCTTATCAGTGATGGCTTTGTTAGAAGCCCAAAGCATAATTACCTTAATTTTCTAAAGTTTCATTGGAAAATTGACTGAGGCAGTCTTGAGTTGTCAGCATTTCAACTTTTTTTTTTTTTTTTTTTTACCATTCATTGTGACTCAAGTATATGTTTCATTTTTTACTTTGTTCTTGAGATTGTATTAGGGTATAATGAAAATTTGTCTGTGTGGAATTGCACCTTTTCTTTTAGGTGATACTTCCTACTCTTTCAAAAAGTGCCTCAACAGTCTTGATCATGTTTGTGTGACTCCTGAGAACAGGAGAAAGATGAAAACTCACTTGAGCAAGTTTAAACATTTATGCTTTTAACAGTATTTCTAATGGATGAGCAATGTGACCATGTTTTAGGTTCCTACTCATGTCTTAAAATTATCTTCATAAAATCATGAAGCAGTAAAAATTCAGTCAAATAATATTTGTTGAAATATCTGAGTATAACTCTGGCACACAATGGTGTTCCTTAGAAGTGTTCCCTAAGAAAACATACTTCTGGTGTTTCTTTGGGAAGGATAGATAAATTGATGTCTGAATTTGGAGGTTTATTTGATTGGAAGAAGCTAAGTCACTGTTGTAAGAAATTGTAGGAAAGTCTTACTGCATGAGTCCTTTCCCTTATAAATATTGTTTTAATATAACTAATATTTATGGAAAATTAATACTGTACTAGGCACTGTGGAAAATGCTTTACAACTAGTATCTCAATAACTTAAAACCACCCTTTGAATCAGTGGCATATAATCAAATCATTTTTTCCTCTCATTTTAGCATCTGCCATAACTATTGATTGACTATGGATGACTATACCAAAATAGAGAAAATTGGAGAAGGTGAGTGCTTTTTCGTATAAAAGTTTTAAGTGATTTAATGATGCTATAACATCTGTGACATGAAGACATGTAAATATTTATTAAAATCTAACCTTTAAAGTACCTTACACTACTAACATGCATTAATACATATATTCTTTATATAACTTAAACACAAAAGTATCAAAAAATGTTCATATTTTAAGAAAACTGAAATTATTCAGATGACTACCTGGCACACATCTCTCCCCAATAATCTTATGTTCTAATACTAAACAATTAAAACAGTATTCCTATTTTGATAAGACTGTTGATGTCTTGTATATGTGTTGGGAGAATTTAGAGCAGTAGAATTATGTTAGTTTCATAATATACTTTTAGTTGCCTACAATTATTTTTAAGATGATAAGTATTTTTACCTAAATTGTCTGAACTGGTTTCAATAATTGACTATTAAACTAATTTAAATTTTCTATTTAGTTACCCTAGGTTGAAATGATCTGTCATATGTACATGTTTAAGCTATTTTAAAGCCAATATATAATCATTCGTTCCCTATCTGTAGTAATTTCATTAGAGTTTTTTAAAAAGTTCATATCTATATGGTATAAATGAGGGATAAAAATATCCCTTTGACTGTTCCTCCTTCCCCAACAGAATAACTTTTATATATGGGTCTTGATATTGATATTCCAAACTCTTCAGGGACAAATGATACAACTTAAAATAATTTGCTACTAGAGTCCAGTTCCTATAGGCTCTGTTTGAGGAACATCTTCAACTACATTTTTAGTGTGCCCTAACCCCTTCTTGTATAAGGAATACTACTAAAATGCCAGGAAAGGAATACTGGAAGGAATCAAGTGTGATAGTAATGACAGGTTTGGGTGGTGGTGGGGTTGGAGATGCAGTCTTTCTTTAACTTAAAAATTTTATATGATTTCTTTTTTCTGGAAAAAATAAACATTTTATTACACCCATTCAACTATACTAATTTTGCTGCTGAGTTAAAAATAAGTTTGATTAGCATGTCTAAGGCAGATAATTTGTTAGTGGTTCTAAACCTTTTTTGAAATACCTTTTCTACTTTTGGAGAAAGTGATAAAAGCTATGGAATAAACGTTCTCCCTAGAAAAATACACTCTAATCACTTTTGAAATTATACTGATGTCAGAAAAATAGCAAAAGCTTTTTAACAAAATTTTATATATCATTAAGGGGTTCAAGTCTTCTCTAAAATATCCAACCCTGGTTTTAAAAAGCACTTATCCAGGGGAATAAGTATATCATGTATATGAACTTGATTTAGCCAAGTAGTCCAGCTCCCTTATTGCCATTTCCATTCCCAGACCCTTTATAATGACATTGTTGCTTATTATTTGAAGCCCCAGCATCAGAATCCATGTTCTCATCTTCTGAATGGGTACGAGCCTTTTCTACTATGTTGTAAACAATGTAACCTTTATTAGACTTAATAAATATTTAATAAAATATTTTATCCCCATTCTTTTCTGGATCAGAGTCATTGGCTATTTGAAATGCATATAGCGCCATTTACAGAGTTTTCTGAAAGTGTCACAGTGACTCCTGTTAGTAATAGTCACTGAGTCCAAATCTTTACATTGTATTATGTGCTAGAAAATTACTGGTAATTTCAATGTTTAGAAAACCTGTGATGACTACATGAATTTTATTTTTCAGTTATAGACCAACAGTAGGTTGTTGTTAGCCTCAGTTTCTTTTTGGAAGTGATGAGGGTATAATTGTGACGAAGGTAGTACTTCCTATCTGGACATTAAAGTCTTGTTTAGTTCCTGGAGGGATGTCACATAGCAGACATTTACTTTGTCTATTTCAGGTACCTATGGAGTTGTGTATAAGGGTAGACACAAAACTACAGGTCAAGTGGTAGCCATGAAGAAAATCAGACTAGAAAGTGAAGAGGAAGGGGTTCCTAGCACTGCAATTCGGGAAATTTCTCTATTAAAAGAACTTCGTCATCCAAATATAGTCAGGTACGGTATAATATCTGGATTGAAACCATTTTCTGCACTCTATTTAAAATTTGCTTTTCAACGTGGAAATTTTTATATTTGCTTAATTTTTGTGTAACGCTGCTGAGTGGAACAGAACCCTACTATTTTTGTTAATTGACAATGCTGGACATAGGAAAAGTAGGCCATTAAAGCAGGAACATAATTAGAGGAGCTTGGTCATAGAGATTAATATTTGGGCCTGAAAGATCAAGGTAAACTGGCCTTGGGAAAAAAGGAAGATCTTTTCACTGAGCTGTGTCAGCTCTCACGAAGAGCTCTGGTCCTTAAGATCCCTTAATCAGAGCCCTAAGGCAGCTAGGTCAGATGAAAAAGAAAAGTTTTTTTTTTCCTTTTTAAATATGTGGGCTGGTGTTTTGGGGTAGGTTGTCTTTCTAAAGGTCCGAGTTAGGACTTAATTGAATTTGGGCGGGACTAGAGATAGCAACTATTAAGGTCAGAAACTACTTTACAATTTATTTCTATAGTTTACCTCAATGGAAAAATAAGCTCTAAACAATAAGCAGTCAGCCTAGAAATGCCATTATGGAATGTAAGTGGTTTGACAGCAACTCCTGTATAATACAACCTAAGTTTCAATTGCTGCCCCAAGATTTCTTTCTCAAATTTGTATTTAGCACTACGAGGGAAGGTGTTTTTTTGTTTTTGTTTTTTTTTAATATATCTTTATTGATTTCAGAGAGGGAGAGAGAGAGAAAGAAACATCATTGATGAGTCACTGATCGGCTCCCTCCTGCACACCCCCGACTGGGGGTTGAGCCTGCAACTAGGGCATGTGCCCTGACTGGGAATCGAACCCCAATCTCCTGGATCCTAGGTTGACGCTCAACCTCTGAGCCCTGCCTGGCCGGGCATGAGGGAAAGTTTTTACTGCTAGGGAAGCTATTCTCTTCTTTCCCAAAACAGTATGTATTTGTTATCATAGAAAATATCTATAGCTACTGTGAAATATAGGGAAGTCATTTTATGAGAGAGGTAAAATATTTATTAATTTTTCACATAATTGTTTTATTTTTTAGTCTTCAGGATGTGCTCATGCAGGATTCCAGGTTATATCTCATCTTCGAATACCTTTCCATGGATCTAAAGAAATACTTGGATTCTATTCCTCCTGGTCAGTTCATGGATTCTTCACTTGTTAAGGTAAGAAGTTTGCCTAATATATAAGTGCTTATTCACTACGAATGTAAAGGGTCTGCTCTATATAGTGCCTGTGTTTTGTAGGAATATGCTTGGGGAAAGTATTAGAAAGTAGAATGAGGAAGTAAAGAGTATTTCATTTTCTTCCCACAGTCTAGGGTTAGATTGTTAATAGTTACCATTTTATTACTAGATAATGCTTCTAATTATAAAATGAAAAGTGATGTCCAAGATAACATTAAACTAATAACTGTTAGTAGTAATTGTTGGAAACTAGGATATTCTGGTCTTTAGTTGACTGTCAGATATTATAAAACGACAAACACCTAGGGCAAGGCGGTGGTAGCAGGTGGTTTAATTTTTTCTGGTTTTAACTGTGTTTTGATCATTTATTGTAGACATTATGTTCCGTTAAACTATAAATGTATACACAATTGTTTAAAAGTAGTGAAGTGTATAAAGTAAAAGTGTCTTATCCTTATGCCAGTTGAGCAAGGCACTCTTCCAGGTGTCTTATAAAACACTTAACTACTAAACAGCATTTTCTGATCATTTTATCTATTTAAATTTAATCATAATATTCCTTTTGTCATTTCTTTTGGAATCTGACCAATGTCTCCAAAGAGGAAATACATATGTAAAGATAAAAGATAGAAATGAAAAAGACCAATTTTATTCAAGATAGAAATAGAGTTGCTATCAGTGTATAAAGCAAAAGTTTAGGAAACTCTATAGAAAACTAACTTGTCACTTAAAGAATGAGGGACCAAAAAATAAGTAAAAGAAGACAAAATGAGTCCATATGGTCATAGACGTGCATAAGGTGACTATCTTTGTCTTAGGTGTACAAAAGTGAAATATTGTATATAACTGGGCTTTTCAACTCTCAAATGCTTGTTCGTCTTAAATGGCCTGAAAGCTTTTTGGTAGTTAAATTATTTCCCTGTATTATAATTTCTTTCTACAAAACAAACTCACCAAGGTTATTTAGAAAATCATTGCGTGCTATGCAGTTAAGCTTCTAACATTTTTCTTCTTCCAGAGTTATTTGTACCAAATCCTACAAGGGATTGTGTTTTGCCACTCTAGAAGAGTTCTACACAGAGACTTAAAACCTCAGAATCTATTGATCGATGACAAAGGAACAATCAAACTGGCTGACTTTGGCCTCGCCAGAGCTTTTGGAATACCTATTAGGGTCTATACACATGAGGTACGGAGAATCGGGTGGTTTTGGTGCTTTTGAGTATGTGTGATTGCTGGATTATCTTCTATATTTGTTCTTTAAATCAAGGAAGAAATGCTCAAAAAAGATTTCCACTCTGCTGTATCAGTTTATTGCCTCAGCTCTGAATTCACCCTTCATTGCATGCTACGTGAAAATGGAGCTAGAACCTTTCAGTATTTTTCCTTTGCTATTGAGTGAGATGTTATACTTTGTCAGTAGAGGGTGCTGGAAAAGCACTGCAGGAGGAAGGGGTTAGTTTTTCCTTGCTGTAGTTTTTAGTGTTCTCATTATTTCTTACTAGCCAGTCTTCATTATTCCAATCCCCTGTTGTAGTTAATAATCCTTTATATTAAATTTTCCCCATTCAATCACCGGGTGGTTTCTGTCTGTCTCCTGATTGGGTCCTCTTTGATGCACAATCAAATTGGTAAAAAACTAGTTTTGTTGCTTAAGGGGTACTCTTCCAGATACATTTAGGAGCTACTAAACAAAATCATGTTTCATCTGTGTATATTGGTGACTTGATATTTCATTTGTTTTGTTTTGAGGGAAAAGGAAAGTTGAATTGTGGTGTGTAGGATTATAGCATGTGTTGCTTAATGTCTGGGATATGTTTTGAGAAGTGCACCTGTAGGCCATTTTGTCATTGTATAAACATAGAGTGCACTTATACAAACCTAGGCAGTATAACCTACTATGTATTTAAACTATATGGTATAGCCTGTTGTTCCTAGGCTACAAACCTGTACAGTATGCTACTGTGCTGAATACCTTAGCCAATTGTAGTACAATAGTATCTAAGCATAGAAAAGGTGTAGTAAAAATACACTATAAAAATTTTAAAATGGTTCACCTGTGTAAGGCACTTAGGGAGCTTGCAAAGTTGTTCTAGGTCAGTCAGTGAGTGAGTGGCGAGTGAAAGGTGAAGGCCTTGGACATTACTTACACTACTATAGACTTTATAAACATTGTGCACTTACTGGCTACACTAAATTATTCTTTAAAAGTGTAGTGTTGCGCTATGACATTAGGATGGCCATGACTTCTAAGCGGTAGGAATTTTTTTGCTCCATTATAATCTTATGGGACCACCATCATTTATACCATCCATTCTTAACTGAAATGTTTTTATGTGGCACATGTCTGTATTGAGAAACAGTCTTCTCTAGAGTTGTCTACCCTTGGGCTCAAAGACTGTTCCCAAATGAAACCTTAAATCGTTGCTCATCAGGTTGGATGTCTTAGCTTCTTTTTACTATCCCTTTATATCATTTTCCCATGGTTGATGCCATTGACCTCATTGACTAAGTTAGAGTGATATTGTTACCATTGTGGTAAATTATATATACTAAAATAATAGATCAGCTCTAGACCACTAATAAACTGTTATATGACTTATTCGTGTTTTTATCATGTAAGTAGTACATGCACTTTGTTCAGTGTCACCCCTAAATCCATTACCCACCATCAAATGTTTTTTTAAATTTTTTTATTAAAGCATTAAAGCTATCTTAACTTTTTTGATCCACACTTTATTGATCTGAAAAGCAAGAAAAGACTGGGTATTCTTTTACCTGTTTTCTTTCCTCCAGTAATGAATAGAACTTAGAAATGAAATATTTATTTTCCATTTAGTATTTTTGTATATGGTTAATTTTTAAACAATATTATCAGAGGCAATCATACAGCCTCTAAAGGACAGTTCTAATGAAATATAAATGTGTACATTTAAGTAATTTAATACACTATATTTACTCAGTGTGAAAATTTCCTTTGTAATAGGTGGTAACACTTTGGTATAGATCTCCAGAAGTATTGCTGGGGTCAGCTCGCTATTCGACTCCAGTTGACATTTGGAGTATAGGCACTATATTTGCGGAATTAGCAACTAAGAAACCACTTTTCCATGGGGATTCAGAAATTGATCAACTCTTCAGAATTTTCAGGTAGTTTTTTTTTTTTTACTTAAGTTGTTAAGAACTTTAAAGGCAACATGAATATAATAAGATTATATTTATGCTTTAATAATTTTTTGTTTTACTTTGGCTTGTAGAGCTTTGGGTACCCCCAACAATGAGGTGTGGCCAGAGGTGGAGTCTTTACAGGACTATAAGAATACGTTTCCTAAGTGGAAACCAGGAAGCCTTGCATCCCAGGTCAAAAACTTGGATGAAAATGGCTTGGATCTACTCTCGGTAAGGAGTGCCCTTTATACTATCATTGATGATTCTGAATGTAGTCCTTTCTTTTATCTGGGACATAGGAAAAACAACATTTAGTGAGTTAGGCAAATAACTATTATATCTGTTATGTTTATTGTATTACTAGCTCCATTTCAGATACCAAGAACCCTAGTAGTTTTGAGAGGAGAATTAGCATTAGTTGTTTTCATTATTTGTTGTTTTTGTTTTTCTTTATCTGATAGACAGCTATAGATACTGTATAGGGAAGGTCAGGGTTAATACACCTTTGTTTAAGTTTCTGACTTGGAGCTATCCTTTCTAGCTCCTTTGTCTCATTATTTTACTACTTTTTAGTTTATCCTGGTCACCGGTGTTTCTCTTGTTGCTTGATATTTTTAGTTACTAAAGCCTTCTACTGCATCAACCCCTATTTCTTACTTTGTGCCTTGTTTGCACATCGGAAATGTTAGGAGAAGGACTGATCTATGTTTCCCTTCTATTACATTTCCATTCCCAAGTTTTCTTTAGAAACAGAACAAAAATGCTGTTAGGATAATTATCCTAGGCCTGCTTCAGGAAGTTTATTTTAGATCGGCATTTAAATATTGAGCTTTTAGAAGGAAGTAATTTTTAATAAATCTCGGGTAACTTAATTCCAGAAAAAAATAATGCTTTGGCAGGTTATTAAACAAAGTCAAAAACAATCTGTTGTTCTATCATCATGTAAGTCTTCTAATTGGTCTTTGGGCACTTTCATACTTTATAAATCATTGTGCCACCAAATTTGGCTCAGATTTCCCAATTGTTTGCCTTGAACTCCCAAGTCCTTTACCTGCTATTCAGTATTTTGTGTACCAGTATTGTTGATTTGCGATAAACGACCTTCCATATTCTGGGCCCAGTCTATCTTTTTAACTTCTGTTATTTTTGAATACAAAGAATTTCACTTCAGTTAAGAAAACAAAAATCAAATACTGTAAATCAAACACCTTGGACCATCCTAGTCCTCTGCCCTATAGATGCCAGTAGCACATTCCCACCCAGTTGTTAGAGCTCAAAATGTCTCCAGACATTGCCAAGGGCAGACCCACCCAGTTGAGAACCATTGCTGTAAATAAAAAATCAGGCTTGGTTTTAAAATTAGCTTTATTACTCCCCTCTCATCTGGCCAAAATACTTAACCTCTTTGAGCTCCCATGTCTTAATTTGTAAAATGGAACTAGTATGTACCTTTTGTTGTGAGGATTAAGTAACATGATATTTACAAAGCACTTAACATAGTGCTCAATACATAATAAGAGCGCAGATCATGACTAGATACAAATATTTCTTGTCTGCATGTTGATTTGATTTTCTTTAAGATAAAAATTTAAGGTCAATATTGAACTTTTCATCTTTTTCTGGTGATGTAAATTAATACTAGCTTGTCTGACTCATTCATTTTAACTCATTTTAACTATGTAGCACATCACACTCTGTTTTGGTTTTTATTTGGAACTTACTGGAAGCTACATCAGAAACCTCTATAATGTTGCCACCATTTCAGGAATGTTGTAAATAATTCAGGTGGCCATCTAATTCTCAAAGTAATTATAATTAAACTAGATATCTTTCTTAAATGTATGTCTTGGTTTTAAAGCTATCTCTGAATGCTCATGTCTTAAACTATAGTTTATAACAAAAAAAGGTTATCAAGATACCTTAAGGAACAGGTTATTCTAGAGCTAGAGGGTGAAGTATAGTGGATGAGATACTTATGTGGTTTGGTATTGAACTAATGAAACTGTTCATTTAGTAGATTTTTCAGTAAAATTAGCTTATGGCTTACTAGTAGAGAAGTTCAGGCTTTCTGGAGGTTTTTTTTTAATGATTCATTGCTTAAATAAATAAAAACCTTTTTTTCTTTTTATCTTTCCCATCCAGAAAATGTTAGTATACGATCCTGCCAAACGAATTTCTGGCAAAGTGGCACTGAATCATCCGTATTTTAATGATGTGGACAATCAGATCAAGAAGATGTAGCTTTCTGACCAAGAGTTTCCACATGTTGTTTCAAGAACAGATATATTTTTACTGTCAACTCTATTTTTGTTTTCTGTATTTTTGTTTTCTTTGTTGTAAAACTTAAGCTTGTACTTCATCTTCTAACTTCAGAGTTGTAACTTAATGTAAATATTGTTCTATATGAATTTAAATATAATAATTCTGTATATGTGTGCAGATCTCACTGTTAACTATTTGTTACTATAATAAAACTATAAATCTAATATTGGTGTCAGGAATTGGGGAAAAAAATGAGTTAGCTTAAATCATGTCAAACCTTATAGCAGTCCAGTTTTTCTGTAGTTGGAACTACTGCAATTCAGGAAAGTGTGCTATTTAAGTTTTGAAGTTCATAATGCTTTGAAGTATTTGTATGCTCTGGATGTTAAAATTTTGTTAGTTTCTTGCCATGCGGTAACTTATGCAATCGGCCTAAAGATGAATGTTTTTCTACTGGTATTGCAATTTGTGATCTAAATGTTTAAGCATTCAGAATGAGAAAACTGCCTGGATTTGAGAAACAATTCTAAATTTATAGAGGTTTTCAGTAAGTTTTAAAACTAGCATTAGGGTATGCCAAAGTTTTACTAGATTTTACAGTTAAAGATCAAGGGCTGCCCATAGCAGGAAAGTTTAGAGAATTTATGAACTATCCTATTTTTAGGTAGCTTATGAAAGATATTTGTCCAAGTGAATTCTTATACCTTGGTCAGGGGTAATAACTTTGCAAAGGAGTTGCTCATCGCAGCTTTCAATTTGCAAATAAAGTTTTTATTAGCAGCCTTCTTAGAAGGTTCAAGTATTTAGCTGAAATCATTAATTTGGGAAATTAAATTGTTTAGTAATGCTGCTCATTATGATTCTTACTTATAAGCAGCCTAAGTTAAATGATTTGTTATAGCCAAGAGAAGTGTCTGTAGAAATAGTTTTGTCATTTTTAGTGTGCTATCCTTTGACCATATAGCCTCTATTTTTCCTCCTGATTACCTAAGGCTAGAACAGGCATTCCTGTGTTACTGATCCTGTTGCCTAATTGATTGGATATGTAATAGGTGATGTATAATCTATGTTGTTTTGGAATTTTTCCACTCTATAGGAGAAAGTGTATGGGTGACTTTCTTTGGCAGTGGGACTTATGAGAGTTACGGTGGAAGCTAGCCTACAGTAAGAATGCATACCCTTGGAGATGGAAGTCATTTGGGGTCATAATGTGGAGAGTTCTTAGGAATTTATGGTGGGAATTTGGTAAATAGCAGGTCACACAAAAGATTTACTGGACCCTTGGCCAGTGTGGCTCAGTTGGTTGGGCATAGTTCTGGGCACTGAGGGGTTGCTGGTTTGATTCCCTGACAGGGCACTTGCCTAGGTTGTGGACATGATACCCCGTAGGGGCAGGAGGCAGCCTATCGATGTTTCTCACATCCTTGTTTCTCTTTCCCTCTCCCTCTCTAAGAATCAATAAAAAATCTTTAAAAAAAAAGATTTAATTGAGATGGGGAAATGGCATATCTACAGACATGTGTTTTCTTAACCTATGAAGTTAAATGACGTTTTTCAAATTGAATTGTAACCCCCTTAGTAGTTCAGAACCAGCATTAGTCAACAGCCCTCACCTTCCCCCCACTACATGCAGAATAGGAACTATCAGTATATCTGATAATTATGTCTTGGTACATATATATAGATACATGGATGTTACAAATGCTTGGGGCCTTGTGGATTTGCTAGAAGCAGCACGGAACCTCACCGTTGCTCCATGGAGTTTAATTTGAAAAGTCAATAATCAATTTAGAACCTACTTGGTGGATGAGCAATGAGATGGTAGAACACTCATCAGTTGCTATGAGGGACCTACTTCTGCACATGTTTGTCCTGTATAAAGTGTTAGTCAGCTTCAGTGACGGTAAAAAGCTACTGAACTGGATCCTCATGCATATTTTTAAATTGGCTTGTGCTATGGTGCTTCTGATTAATGCTAAAATGGAGCTTGTCTCTGGGCCAGTAGTTCTTAAATCTGTTCTGCTCTAGAGGCACCAGGGACTAACACTGGTTCTACCCTGAACAATTCTGGTATTGAAAATCAGGAAATGTATTCCAGGAAATTTTTTCAAAAGTTCCCCAAGTTGATTCTGATGTAGCCCAGTTTTCGCCATTTGGTGGTTAAGTTTAACACTTAGGCCTACGTATAGTTTTACTTGTCTTAAAACGTCATGACATCATGCAAGATATTTAACTTGTTCTATTTCTGTTTAGGCCTACTGCAGTGGGAGAGGGCTGTATATTTCATCACCAATATAAGACTCATATGCTTGAGCATACACTGAAAATTGCTCTACAGATTCTCCCTAGCTTCTAGAGGGTTTTTAAAAAACTATTTTAAGTATATATGCAGTAATGAGGCAGAGAAGTTCAGGTGCTTGAGGAGATGAGAGCTCTTTTGGATGGAAGTAGGTTTTACATTACTTTCGCAAACCATGGTTCATAACAGGTAAATTTCAATCTCCCTTGAAATACAGTGGTGCCTCGGTTTTCGAACGTCTCCGTTGACGAACATTTGGGTTTATGAACGCCATAAACCTGGAAGTAAATGCTTCGGTTTTTGAACATGCCTCGGAAGTCGAACATGCCACACGACTAGTGCTGAGGGCAAGATCCTGAGGCCCAGCTGTCGGCTGTGGATCATTGTTTTTGAACGTTTCAGAACTCGAACAGGCTTCCGAAACGGAGTATGTTCGAAAACAGGTACCGCTATAGTTGCCACATTCAAATGAGTCAGTGAGGACAGAACAAAGACAATTAGTGATACTTGTGGAATGCGGAGTGAAGAGAGTAGTGGGTATTGTTTAAAATGGGTTTGCAACAAGATGGATAGGTGTTGAATGACTAAAGGGAAAGCCAAGGAAGGAGGGATAAAGCATGAAAGATCCTGACGAGGGAGAGTTCTTACTGACTTCAAAATAGCATTTAGGAAAAGGAGATGTTGGGATAGTAATGGTATTGACGAGGATTGTAATCTTGGGCATTTTGGAGAAGGGGGTGAAGTTTAATGAACTATTGGGAAGGAAGAGTAGACATTTTCAGTCTGTCATAGTTTAAGTATCAAGTTTCTAAGACCATAAAACTTCAGAAGAAATGCACTAAGAGAGACTTGCTTGTTGAGAGAAGGTATAATGATAGCATTCCTTTAGAATGCTGAAGGCCTGTGGTTTTCAAACTTGTTAAAACAGATTTCTGGTCCATTTCCAGAGTGATTCAGTAGGCCCTATGTGGCCATGAATATGCTTTTTTAACAAGGTCCCAGGTGATGCTAGTGATCCAGGGGCCAGAAGTCTGGAGAACTGAACAGAAGCTCAGTCAACTTGTTGGGCTTGTAGAGGAAGCAAAGGTGCAGAAGGCAAAACTGACCTAAAGTCAGGCATACATTTAGAGGTTGAACTGGAACTTGAACCTAAATCTTACATGGTTAGTGTTGAGAACAATAAATGTCATAAAGATTCCAGGCTTTAGAACTGGAGAGACGGCTTGGTTCCCAGTTCTGCCATTTCTGTCTGTAGCCTTCAATAGGTCACTTGGTGGCTCTGAGTCCATTTCCTCAATCGTATAATGGAAATACTAAATAGGATTTATTATTTATATAAATTGGATTGTTATGAGGGTTGCCAGGCATTCTGCATATATAGGATGTAACCTATCAGGATGTCCTAAATGTCTTCAGTGTTTTTCTGCCACAGTAATTGGTGCTTAAATCTGTTAAATTGCAACGCTAGTTGAAGAGTATAGATAAAGATCCTGGCACATGGCACACGGTAAATTTGTTCTTTAAGCTCTCATCACTTCTTTCTGATTACTTCTTAAAGCCCTTCTTTTATTTTCTCCCTTACTAAATTAGTCCAGTGAGGGCAGGGGTCGTGGTTTTTATTGTTTGCTTGTTTTTAATTTTAGTTTTCAATTCAGTTTACATTCAGTATTATTTTGTATTAGTTTCAGGTGTACAGCAGCATAGTGGTTAGACAGTGCTATACTTTACAAAGTGGTCCTCTCGATATTTCCAGTACCCGCCTGCACCACACATAGTTATTTCAATATTATTGACTGTATTCCCTGTGCTGTAGTTTACATCCTCAGAACTATTTTGTGACCATCAATTTGTCCTTCTTAATTGCTTTGCCTTTTTCACTCAGCCCCTCAACCCCTCTCCCCTCTGGCAACCGTCATTCTGTTCTCTGTCTCTATGAGTGTTTCTATTTTGTTTATTTTACTCTCTAGATTCCACATATAAGTGAAATCATATGGTATTTGTCTTTCTGTTTCTTACTTATTTCACTTAGCATAATACCCTGTAGGTCCACCCATGCCGTCACAAATGGGAAGACTTTATTCTTCTTTATGGCCGGGTAATACTCTTGTGTAAGTGTATGTACCACAGCTTGTTATCCACTCATCTATTGATGGGACTTGGGTTGTTTCATATGTTGGCTATTATAAATAATGCTGCATTGAAAATAGGGGCGCATATATTCTTCGAATTAGTGTTTTTGGGGTTTCTTAGGATATATTCCCAGAAGTGAAATCACTGGGTCATAAGGCAGCTCCATTTTTAATTTTTGAGGAAACTCCATACTGTTTTCCATAGTGGCTGCACCAGTCTGCATTCCCACCAGCAGTGCACGAGGGCTCCCTTTTCTCCACACCCTCGCCAGCACTTGCCATTCTGACTGGTGTGAGGTGATACCATGTTTTGATTTGCATCTCTCTGATGATTAGTGACCTTGAGCATCTCTTCATATGTCTATTGACCATCTGTATGTCCTCTTTGGAGAAGTGTCTGTTCAGCTCCTCTGAGGGGTCATACTTTGTTCTTTACAGCCCTTGGTGTAATACCTCGAGCATTAGACATGATGCAAGTCCTTTAAGGTTGCCCAAAGGTAGTGGCCCCTCACCTGTAATAATAATCGAACATCACTAGTAAGCAGCCACTGTACTTTATATCCATTTCTTGTCTCTTTCCCAGCACCCTTGTGAGGGAGAGGGCATCTGTCTTACAGAGGATGGAACTAAGGTTCATAGAGCTGAAGAACTTGCCAAAGGTCACAAGGCTGGTCGATGCCAGAGCAAGGACCTGCCTGGGGCTTTTTTACTTCAAACTCTTCTCTTTCCATGGTGTCATGTTGGTTTCCAAGATAAATCCATAAAGAAAACACGTGTTTAGTTTTAAAAGCTTAAG